CAACAAATTGATCGACAGTAAGCGCTACAAACGGCACAGAAGGAAAATATCGATCGCACTCCATTCACTCTCACATTTCACCCTCACAACCACGTAGTTAAATCTACCATTCTAAAAAACTTTAAATTACTTCAGAACGATTCAGTGACTGGTACTATCTTTTCGCCACCTCCAATAATTTAATTCAAACGTAACAAAAACATAGGTAGTAGATAGATCCCTTAAGATCACTGATCACTTCGCGTGCACCTAGACCAATGTCATCTATTGCATAACTTGTACTTGCAAAAATTTATGCATTGGTGAAACAGGAAAACGAAAAGATGACCAATTCCGTGAACACCTTAGCGAAGTAGAAAGAAATGACAAGGACGCATTCAAACCAGTCGCTACACGCTTTAATCTCCCTAATCATACTAAGCAGCATATGGCAGTTTGTGGCCTTTCCCTTCATCTAGGTAGTTCGGAAAGCCACAAAACTATAGAACAAAAATTTATCTTTGAAATCGGCACTCTCCACCCCCAAGGTATCAAACGCGCGCTTTTCATTCAACTAATTTATTCTTGTTTTCTCGTCGCCTAATTCCCACCATGGGCGTAGCTCCATTTTCTGCATATAAACACACACACAACCCACCATTCCTCCATTCTCTCTGACGAAGGGCTAACACTCGAAACGTCAACTCTGAAACTCTTTACGGTTGCCAATTTACGTCATCAACTTCGTTGATAATACTAAATTACCCACTTATACTCTCCCACCGACGCAGCACCAGATTCTTTAGAAACTTATCCCCTTTATTCACCCGACAAACATAGTCAAGCAGAAGGGAGCCGGCTTTGAAGGCTTAAGACGCCTACCGTTCCAAGTCTGAGTGAAGAAAATACCTGTCTCCCTATGATCCCCCCTAACTGGTGCTAAATCAAAAACCTTGTGAATCGCAGATCCGATTTCCTAAAATACTGCCAGCCTCGGGGAGAAGTTTGGCAAATCCACTCTGGCCTTCAGTTGACCAGCACAGCTGGAGGTATGCCAACTGTGCTGTCCGGGTCGTTTATCGGTTTAGTGATGCCTACTTTGTCAGCCAGTTGGTGGCATCGCTGCTCATGCTTTACTTTGAACACAGCAGTGCAAGCAATAAAAGGATGCGAAAAGCAGATGAGGACCAACGCATCGCTGACTGCAAAATTCTCAGAAGTAAACCAGATGTTCTCGATTCCTGGACTATCCTGGGGTCCAGGAAATACTTATCGCCGCGAGTGAAATTTAAAGTGAAGTAATTATCCTGTCTAACACACCATAGAGTTAGCTTAGAATCCAGGATCGTTAGTTCAGTTTTTTAAAAAAACTTTTCAAGGTTCGATCTAGTTTTTATTCATAACCCAGGATCTTAGCTCCAATTCTACAAATTCTATTGTGAAAATCCGCGACAAGGTCTACATAAAAAAAGAAACGATTACAAAAGCAACAGCCAAGTTGGATAACTAAAAAAATGAGGGTTCATATAACTTGAAAGTCGGTTTTCGAGCAAAAGTTCAGAGTGGGTTTCCTGTGAGAATCCAGTCGTTCCTTGATTATACTTGGTGCCCGCATCAGTGTGGTCGGCTTTTACTGACTTCTAAAGAAACCCTGGGCATCATAAAGTACCAGTCCTATCGCAACAACGGCAACCACTAAGGGGATGACACACTGCAGATCCGCAAAATATTTTGATGCGTTTCAAATTAACAATAAATTTCACGGTTGACGAAGCATAAATTAATAACTTAGATGCTTTGCTAAGTTTGTTGATCTCGTATTTTCTTGCTTATTTCGTTAGAAAAGTTTGAGAGGGGAAAAATAGGACGGTAGAAATTACAGAAATTCCCGCATGTAATTATTTATTACAAGACCAACGGAAGGAAAAAGTAATGAAGTGTTGGACACGCCCCTTGATTTTTACCCCCCTCACAAGATTAAGGCATTAACACCTATGTAAATTATCCAGGAAAACGCGCTATTCCTCGAATAAAAACACTGATAGTGCTAATAGGCTAAAAAGGGGGAAATAACACAACTTCGCGTCTCTAAAAATTCGTGCACTGAATCAAGCGGCGAAACGCCTCTTTGGGTAAATGTTGAGATAAAGTCCTTGAAAGCACGTTTGCTGATGATACTGTTCAAGCTCCACTAAGTCCAGCTCTTTTTCTGCTTTCTTTTTCTCTTAGTTAATTTACCATAATTGAAAATAGCAGCTCCCACAGATCTGTAGTTTTCCTTCAGGTTTTCCCCCATTGAGAGCCCAAATAAATCATTGTTGCGTGGACTCCCTTTTCGTCTTTTTCTAATAGTCTCCTTCGTAGACGTCTTTCAAGTACGTCACTTCTATCGATAAAGGGTGAGCACCTTGGTAAAACGGCTGAAGTTTGTTCACTAGTGAAAAAGACGCTGTTTGAGATTGTGTCTGCCATTCTATCAGCGTCGCCAAATACGATGTTTGTGGGCGCACAAGATCGACCTGTTGAGATGAACCGTTCATTTAATTTGTCAGCAGAAAGGTAATTGATATTGACTTGTGTAATTTCACGGGGGTCAGACGTTAAACAGTTTTCAAACTCAGTCGACACTACAGTTTACGTTCTCACGAGCAAATTCTTCTCATGCGTTCTTTTTAGGGTGTTGATAGGAAGCGGCGACGCTGAAAAAATTTTTCATGGCAGATACCTGTAAAAAATGAGGTATTTCTTTTATCACTGTGGGAACTTTTTAGTAAGAAAGGTTTTGATTGTCATACTGGTTAACAGTGTCATTCAAAAATGGTGATTAGCCTTCAATTTACTAACAACGCTTCCTGTTTCAGAAAGGCGCGAAGACCGGACGCAATAAATTTTGGGAGCATTCGTTGGATGTAAGCACTGAACGAAACGCTTTTTCATCGTATAGGGATGTTACTCTTCAACAAGAAGATATTACCATTCTCCAACACAAATGGAGTCTGTTGCTTCGAGCAACTGGAAATAGATAAAGACGGATGGGATGAGAACATTAAAAAACCGAAATTTAGCTTATAGCTGAGGAAGTTTTAAGGTGACCACGAAATTGATCTGCAGACCATTGTGTCTAAAGAACAAAAAAAAAACCCAAAAAAACACGTTGGCCATATAAACTTGCCTTAAATGCAATTCCGAAGACTGTCTTTGTCCTTCATATATCACTGCAATCATTTTAAACGCTTAAAAAACCTCCCTTCTTAATCAGTTTCAATTTTAACGAAGTAAAGCGGAATCCTTGCGCAAAACCTACCTAACCTTGATTTGACGAGAACAAATACCTCCTGAACCGGCATTATTAGGTGGGGTAAATTTATGTTATTGATGAGTTTGTCACCACGACAAATTTGGCTCGAGGAAAGAAAGCCCTTAGTCGTCAGGGCTAGAAGTGTGAAAATTGCTTTGTTCGCGAATGTATTTTTATACTTCCGAAAACACTTTCATAACGTCTATCTCTATGTTTCAAGCTGTCAATATCTCGCTTTTTCACATTGTGCAGCAAAACTTTACGACCTACTGACATGAGACAGCGAAACAATTTCTGCGTATTACAGGGTCAAATCATTGATCCTCTTATCAATTTCTCCTACTTTAGCACAGCAGCATATCTAATAAAACTTAATTCTCATTTTCATCGTGTTCAAAAGTCACCCTGGTTACGCAATTTACGTCTTTATTTCATGCTACAGTCAAATTTTCTTCAGCTGCCCCTCCGTTAAAAACCTGGACCAATGGAAATGCACATCTTTCGGTCCAATTGCTAGAAATTACCCACTCCCCAAGTTTTTAGTTCAAATTCTATAAGAAAGGATTAAAATACTCACTAACAATGCAGATGTAACTAAATGAGTCATATCTTTTTAAGGATTCAAACCTTTGCAGTGCACTGGGGAAAAAAACACGACAGCATGGGATTTTTTTTTTCTATAAAACGATTTTGAATTTTAAAGATTTTTGTTGAATAGAAGAAATATTTATCAATTACAGCCTCTAAAGAAGAGCATTCTTTTTCTAGATTTCTTGACTTTGAAATTCAATTTTCAAAAATAAACGAATCGGAGAAGATTAAAGGGGACATTAATCATTGTTAATGGTATTAAAAGCAGTCGTTCGTCTACAGTTTGTACAGATGTCTACAACATTGCCTGCTAACTACAGCTGATATAACGGTTTTTACCAGCTAGGTTAAAAAACAAAAGAAATAGAATATTTTCTTAAAGGAACTGTCAAAAGCTTGTTTTGCTAAATTATACTACAACCAATTAGCAAATGGATTTCAAGAGCCGTTTTAACGCACGGAATGCTGAAGACACTGGGCGAGCAAACATGGAGCCATGCGAAGCGGGTCCTAATAGCTTTCGTTTTAAAATGTCACAAATTTTAGGAGCTTAATAGGGTCGTCGCTAACTCTGGGTAAAGAATGCGGGCAATGCATGTCAAATTGTGGCAACAAAGAGAATGGTCTCTAAGGTGCGTGTTTCTTTGGGATATCGCGTCAATGAAAAGACAAAAGGCGAAATTAATTAGGAGATTTTAGAGATAATTTTTCTTTGGGCGCGTGATAACACTATAGAGTAGTTTTTCCATTCGTGTAACCTAATCCGCATAAAGAAACACGCATATCATTTCGCGTTTTTCAAAGGAAAATAACAGGACCGTATGGTCTAAAAGCTGTTGACTCAAAAACTCGTGTTTTGCGAGATAATTGCTCAAACCACTTATATACAAATGTGATTTGGCAGCTTCTAAAATGTTGTCTTTGTCCTAACAAGGTTACTGTGATAGCGTTGACAGTTTAATTCAATTTATCTTCGGTATCCAACTTTGACGGGCTGTCGCGCTAATTGAATTACTCCATGCGCTCTCGAAAGCTGATTGGTCGTTGGGTTAGGTAAATACTTTAATTAATTAGTCATCAATTTCGCACAAGCTGTATAATTTAATTGACGCATCCGCAGGCTGGGTGAATACTCAGAGGTGGCTTATGCTCGGTGGGTTACGAATCAAAGGCTCGCGGCGCTACAGAGCTACCTCTCCTTCTTTTACTGTGCCACGAGATATCAAACCATCATTTGTCTACGCTTCGACCGGCTTTCACTAAAAGATACTATTCACAATGGAGACGCACAGGAATGGGAATGATTCGTCTTCTGTAGGCGAGGACAACTTCAATGAGAGAAACTCAGGACATGGTGACAAAACCACCAATAACAGAGTGTTGCCATTCTCTATCGAAGCAATTCTTAGCGCCCCGCATCCGAAGAAACATTCACCAGTTACAAGGAAAGTGCCTCATTGGTCATCACAAGGAACCTCTATGGAATCACCTCCAGCTATTTTAACTCTGGAGGACTTTACAAGTAGTAATTTACCGGACGATAAATCTAAAGAACCAGAAACCGCCGAAATAGGTGAGATTTAACTCCTGGCGTTATTTACCAAACAGGCAAAATCCACGAAGCTTTAGTACGAGTATTAGATTAAAAAAATCTATTTCTTTCCTTCTAGTAAACACGTCTTGAAATTTCAACCGTTTAGCGCCACAAATCTGCTTGCGCAGCCTTGAACAAATACTCAGTGACCCTGAAGCAATTTTGAAGCAATCGAAAGCTAGTTTCAGCATTGGTGTTTACTTACGATTTGCATAACTCAAGCGTGCTTATTTTCTTTTCCCTGCTTTTTTTTCTCTATTCCTTCAACAAAGCGACTTTTTGTGTGTTAGATAAAATTCAGTAGCGTGATTAATGATATGATGCCCTTACCATCTTATAGCTTCAAGAAACCTTCAGCAAAAGCTGATGGCATTTCAAGCAAGACTAAACGCCAGAAAACGGAGAAAAGCGAGGACTTGCTTTACGAATCAACAGATATTTGAGCTTGAGAGACGATTTGTGTACCAGAAGTACCTATCTCCTTCAGACAGAGACGAAATTGCGCACTCTCTGGGAATTTCTGGTGCACAAGTAATCACATGGTTCCAGAACAGAAGGGCGAAATTTCGACGGGATCTTGAGGAGCTCAAAAGCGACGTTCAAGCAGCGAAAATTATGGACAATAAGCAAGTGAGCCGATTGTGCAAACGTTTGGAAATTTAATGTCTCACAAGGTGGTTCAATTGACACATTCAGGTTTCTTCCGGCACTCTGCAGTCTTACATGTGTATAATCCACCTACTACAACACAAGTAAGCGTTCACTTTGTATACGCTTTTCGAGAATCCGTTTTCTTCAATACCCGCATTTTCCCTAACGGACACCTGAAATTTGACAGATGAATTTTCTGCCTCAAGTACGGAAATTTTTTTATTTAAAAGCGACTCTCTCCTATCAGAGATTAGAGAGACTACTCGTTGAGTTTGTAGTGGATGGCTTGCGTCTCTTTTGTTGGCCTTTTTAATGAATCTGTTGAAGAAATCTGCTTAAATAACATGATTTGTCTCAAGGTTAAATACTCTGGTTAGACTGTGCCGGCCGCATTCATAAATCACTGAATGCAGTGACACATCTAAAGTAAGATGCTAAATGAACGATAAATCAAATGGCTGTCTACTTATCCAACTTCACTGAGTCGGTCGGCTTTACTGTCGAATAAAAGGTCAGGGACAAGCTCCGGATATTGCGTTTTAAAATTCTTGCGTGGTTTAAAATTGAATTGCCTGCTTTTCGTTTGCTTTCTTCCACTCAAATTTGATTGGTTTATCAATGAATAATTTCCTTAAATCTAGCATGCGTACTCTATGCAAGACGGTGTCAAAAGATAAAACAGGAAAACAGGAAACCAGAGCATCGTTCATAGCTAAAATTACGAAGGGTTGTAAATATTACATATTTGTCAAGTTTAGCTTTTGGTGTACATGGAAATAAATAACACATAGATAAAAATTTTGTTTAATCCATTGTCACTTCCAGAGGATATTTCAAGATTTATTTACTGAGTTAGTTTTTTCAAAGCAAACTAGCATATGATAAGTATTTTCTTTTAGGACCACGATTCAAGAGGAGAGAAGGTCTGTGAACAGACTCCTCTGTCACAATTAGATTTTCCTCGCATCACTTATGTATTCTTACAGTCTAAATTCAAATGAAAGCACATAACTAAAAAAAACCAAGCCAAATTTGGTAGAAAAGAGCACCACTGACTTATTGAACCGAATGAAATTATGCCAACTTTCTCGTGTTATCTTCTTGCGGCAGATTGCATATCGGTCGGGTAAGATGAATCAAATGTGACCAATACCTTTCAAAATGATTTATAAACTTAGAAGGTGCGAAACTATTCATCTACGTCAAAGAGCTGAAGATTGGCAATCAAGCTTTTATCTCTTTAAGCTGTGATGGATTGTTTCAGGGAGGAACTCGTGAGAAAGGTTGATAAATGAGTGTTTTTCTTGCGGTGAGTAGTTGTTTCGAAAGCAACTCTTTCAATAATTGTGCATTCTAGTTTTAGAATTCAGAAGCCAAACTGAGTAATCATATCATTTCTTACTGAGTATCAAAAGCTTGTTTTTCGGTGATCAATTATATCGTTCAAAGAACGAGTGCATTGTGGAGGCGGTTTAAAAAGTCCAAATTCCTTGAGTTGCTATCAAAAGCGAGGCAGTATTACTCAACCTCCATTGAATTCACGAATCTCCCAGTTACCTGCTTTGGCTCTTTTGGCTCATTCATTTCTTTTTCACCTACATAGCAAGATGATAAATGTAACAACCATTCTGGGTTTAACTCCTGTTGAAAATCAACTTCAGCTGACCCTTTCTAGCTTCGATTGTGACGCCAAAACTCAAAACCTCGAGGAGTTCGGAACTTCGGATTATGAGACAATAGCCTTTTCGGGTGTGGAGCCAAGAAACACAATACATCTCATTTCGACACTCGTATACGACACTTGCAGTGATTTATGGCGCTATGAAATTTAGCGGCGACACAATAGTCCCCCATAAAGCTTAAAGCAGTTACTTGCCAAAGGTTAATGTTGAGCCGAATATGTCGACAATCTAACATCGCTTCTTCCTCTGCTAACAAGGATTATTCTTACAACCGCTAAAGTTAGAACCGAATAGACTGGCGTGTGAAATGCGAGGTCGCGGAAGCGTTTAAACCTAAGATTATCACTTATAGGTCGCTTTAGCTGCTTTGCTTTGAATTCTCCGTGTGTCGGGATTCCTGTTTGAAGAGGCATCACGCATCACATCGTAATATTTATTGCTCAGAAAAAGAGATTCTCACCAAATATAAACAACACAGCGATAAAGGGAAACTGGAGCCTTCAGTTTATTTATTTCATGAATCTGTAACAAAAAGAAACTGCCCTCAAAACTTACTGTACAAACCGTTTCGGGAAAACTGATAAGAGATAATACCTTGCAATACATTAAAACTTTAACTATTGAGAGGCAAATTGTGATTTTTCTTCCATCGGATCAAATTGGTCACATTCCAACATTTTGGGAATATGGATTTCAGAGGTGGAATGTGCTGAAAATGAACTGGAATTCAGCAGGAACACAATAGAAAAACAATCATTAATTTTATTGCGACAGATATTCGAAGGGATTTGGTAAAATTCAGGTAGAGGAATGTGTATTCGAACACGGACGTAGGAATTTATCACAATGCTTTCTAAATAAGGTTTAGAATTATCCTTAGTGTGCATTCATTTAGAAACAAAGCACAAGAAATACACAGCAATGTTTATTACATAGCCAGACCACAGCTCGGCAGTCAAAGGCAGTGTGGTCCAAAATGATGAGTGATGTCAGCTTAATTCTTAAATCCGTAAAACTAATAGAGATCTTTTAGAGGAGCAAATTCCTTCGATCACAATCAGGAGTCGACTGACTTACCAACCTGGGGTGGGGCATACTCTTATCAATCTCTTACTAAGCTACGCTAACAACCTCGTGAAATTTCACGAACGTACTCCGAAAAAGTATGCCTCAGGCTTCGACACCATTAAAGGGTATTTTTTCTTTATAGGTGTTTGGCAATCTGTTATAGGAAGGAAGGTAACGTGATTGGAAACGGTTCTTTAGGCGTGGGACTTCTCAGTAAACATGTTTTTGGTCTTAACCGCCATTCACTGATTGAAAGCAAATTTTTTCGAGTAAAAATCGAAGGAAACTTGAGATGTATCAGAGTCGGCATCGGGAGCCAAACAGCGCTTCTTTCTGAAACTAGACCGTAAGATTGATTTAGTTAAAGGATGTGGCAAAATAATGATGACAATACAGTGACAAGAGGAAAAACAATTGGGCAAAATCCGATAGAAATACAAAGAGGGAAAAATCTCCAACTTGAAAGTCAAAACACCCGAAAACACCAATTTCTCCAGAAAATTGCGTTAAACATCAAGAAAAACCTCCTTAACAAAATAAACTCCACAAAGAACGCAATGATATTTAGTTGTGTTAACTTGACAGGGGAAAAGTTATCTTTTGATCGGATACATCAATCTTAGAGGTCGACATAAGGTCTACGAGCCCCCCTTAAAATGAACTGAGATGTCTGCATCAATCAGATAAAGAAGGACCTTATGGACTGTATACCCTCCCTAACACTGAGCAATTGGGATATGACGGATGTGTTTTGGTTTTCAAAGTGTCTCCAGGTCTGTTACATGCACTGCCTGGCTTCGGCGGATTTGTGTTTTGGCTGATCAAAAACAGATATCATAAACAAAATGACAAGAGTTTCTAAAACAGACCTCTGAGATTCCGGTTAAATTGATACTGCGTGCGTATGTTTTCCTTTTTTCTCAGCTAAGTTAAGCTTCGACTGCAACGAAAACAATAAACAGATCGTAATACAAAGTTCAGCTTTAATGCAGTAAACATCGAGCTATTTAAACAATTGTTCAATCTTGAGCGTTGACCCATTTTAAGTTTTATCAATTTAAAAGATGTTGCATGAAGCTTTATTATGCTTTCTGCGTAAACGAAAAAAATTGTTTATGACTATGTTGAAAATCTAGGAAGTTTGGCTTATCTTAAACCGCACCCAACTCGTAGAAAGGCCAAACTGAGGATATGAAATTTGCCGCATGTGATCATTGTACAAAGTTCCGTAAATATCAATTACTAATTAGTGTGCAATGCACAGCTTTGGTTTGTTTCCTGTAAATGATAAACATTCGATGACCCTAATTTCCTTCAAAACTTTCTTTGCGTGTATATTCAGTGCATACCGTCAGGTAGAATTTGAGTTTTTATGATAACACGTCATTCATTTGCTAAGTACCTCCGACGTTGAAATATGTAACACAAGATGGTTTTGAGAAGTGTCCTTACACTGCATCAACTTTAGTCTCCTTTTACGGTTTCATTCCTAAAACCCTGAGTTCATGAGAAATCCACTTTGCAATGAAGAATAGTTGATGCTTATCTAAACAATTTTTATTCCCAAATGTAGTACACAAACTTTTGTCTTTAAAGAAAACTTTTTGATTTTTTTTCCTTTCTTTGGAGAATTTATTGGAAAACAAATTTGGAAACGATAGGAGCTGAATGGTTACAGATGCTCCAAGGCGAGATTTAGTATGATCTCTAGTTCCTTGAGAAAAAGGACAAACTCTTTGAGGTAAGCAGAAAAAAAAAACTGGGTTGCTTACGGATCCTTAAGAAGCTTTCCAAACCATAGGGCGCACCTTAAATATAACTTAAATCTATTTTCATAGAGTGAAAAATGCGCTTACATCTTGTGACAACAATTATTGTAATTCTGTGGTCAACTATGGGGGTCTACACACGAACAAATAGAGAACGATTGTAAAATTAGAGAAAAAATGACTAGAATTATAAAGAGCACCCATCTTAGTGATCGCCTGTTCACTCATGAAGCTCTTACGGAATCTTGACCACGACCTCAGTTCTTAATCTCTTGAAAAGTTACTGTTGTTAGTTAAAAGAAATAAGGCATTTTCTCACTCAGATCACACAGTAAGAGGTATGCACACCTAATTAATTTTACTGAAGCTATGACAGTAATTAGATAATTCTTCCGGTGGTGGACGTAATCGTATTATCCCGGCATTTGATATCAGTTATCTGAGACTACAGCTGGCGCCTCTGTAGTACTGTGGTTTGCTAAAGTAGCTCGGCTGTCATCAAAATCGACAGGGGTATCAATTCAAAACAATGACTGTCTGTACGGCTTTATTTGCTCAGACAAAGTTCAATCGTCATTAGCTTCCGTGAAATTAATAAGTGTCGTCGGCCTGTTGAGATTTTAGGGGCAAAGTACGTGACTATGTATTCTGCCATTCAAGCACGCCCAAAAAAGTCAAATAAAAAGTAAATGGGTCGAAGATAATTGTTCGAAAAAACTTCTTCTGCTCGAGAACACTGAATTGTTGAAAAAGAAACCAAAAAAAGACAAATCAGACTTGAGCGCCATGGAACGCGACAAACGAGCGTCAGTGAAAACAAGCTAGGTATGCCTCTCTAAAGGTAATCCTAAAAAAAAATTGCCCAGACAGCTAATGAAATATGAAATAGTAGACATAGTATAAGTAGCTTGATCAAAACAAGGACTGAATTTCTCGGGTTACTCGCCTGCCGGTGATGAGTCTCATAACGCGATGAGATGTGGATCGGTCTATGCTAACGATTTTGTGGAA